CACTTGTTATCCAACTTGCATCCGAGTACCCTTCAAGTACGGTCGGATAGTCATTATATGACAAACCCAAGTTAATGGTTCTTTTAAGATAACCAAGTACTCTTCCAATTGCATTCCAATGTTCGATACCCGGGTTACTCGTGAACCTAGACATTTTGCATACCGCAAATGCTATGTCGGGTCTTGTACAATGCATAGCATACATTAAGCTACCGATCGCACTAGCATATTCAAGCTGTGCCACAGCTCTGCCTGCATTTTCTAGTAATTTAATACTAGAATCATATGGGGTATTTGCTTCTTTAAACTTCAAATGATTGAATTTAAGAAGCACCTTCTCAATATAATGAGATTGACACAACGAGTAACCCCCACTATGCTTCCTCACTCTTACGCCTAAGATAGTATCTACTTCACCAAGATCTTTCATCTTAAATTGTGAAGTTAGATATTTCTTGGTATCATTTACCCCTTGCATGTTTGTTCCAAAAATAAGCAAGTCATCAACATATAAGCATCTTATCACACCAAAACAATTTGTAAATTTAGAGTATAAGCATTTATCTACATTATTATGCTTAAAATCATGAGATAAAATGACATTATCAAATTTCTCATGCCATTGTTTTGGTGCTTGCTTTAAACCATAAAGAGACTTGACTAACTTGCACACCTTCTTTTCATTTTCAAGTAATACAAACCCTTTGGGTTGTTCCATATAGATTTCCTCATCAAGATCACCATTTAGGAAAGCCGTCTTAACATCCATTTGATGCACATGCAAATTGCATATTGATGCAATTGCAAATAGCACTCTTATGGATGTCAATCTAGCTACCGGAGCATATGCATCATAATTGTCTATACCACGCTTTTGTTTAAAGCCTTTAGCTACTAATCTAGCTTTGAATGTTAGTATAGACCCATCGGTATTGTACTTTCTCCTAAACACCCATTTGTTGCTTATTGGTTTTGATCCCGGAGGAAGATCAACTAAGATCCAAGTTTGATTCGATATAATCGAATCCATTTTATCATTCACGGCCTCTCTCCAAGGAGGCATCCCTTGAAGACATAGCTTCATTAAATGTCTTTGGATCTTCCTCTACATTAAGCAACAATGGTATTTTATTGAGTACACCATTTCTATCTCCTTCAACCAAAAAGGTTAAAGATTGAGATGAAATAAAATCCGGTGCTAGGTTCTTTTCTTTTCTTTCACGTTGACTTCTTCTCGGTTCGAAAGATGTCATAGACTCTTTCCTTTTATTTGTGGAGGTACCGGGAACGTCAACATATGGTCGATTAACATTAGATTCTAATTCAATGGTAGAATCAAGGCTAAACTTGTTCTCAACAAATTCAACATCTCTTGATTCCACAACAACATTAGAATCTAGATTCAATAATCTATAAGTCTTGGAATTTTCAGCATAACCTACGAAAACACTTCTAATACCTCTAGCTCCTAACTTTGATGATTTAGGGTCAATAATTCTATAAAAGGCTAGACAGCCCCACACCCTTAAATACATCAAGTTTGGTTTTCTTCCTTTCCATACTTCATATGGAGAGACATGTGATTTCATATATGTAATCCTATTGTGAACATGACATGCAGTAAGTAAAGCTTCCCCCCATAAATTATTAGGCAATTTAGAATTAAGAAGCATAGAGTTAATCATATCGGTAAAGATTCTATTCTTTTTTTCAGCCAGTCTATTTTGTTGAGGAGTAAAAGGGGCTGACTTTTGATGAATAATTCCATGCTCTTCACAGAAAGCATCAAATTCATTTGAGAAATATTAACCACCTCTATCACTTCGAACCATTTTGATTTTCTTATCTTTTTGGTTCTCAATTTCAGCCTTATAAATTTAAATTTATCAAAGGCTTCATCTTTTGTTCTAAGTAAATACACATAAGTATATCTAGAACAATCATCAATAAAAGTGATAAAATATCTCTTTCCTCCTCTAGTTAAAATTCTATTATACTCACAAATATCGGTATGAATCATATCCAATATTTGAGTATTACGTTCAGCTCTAGGAAAAGGTTTCTTAGTCATCTTTGCTTGTATACAAATTTCACACTTATCATTTTTAATATCTTTGCAA